GGGCAGGGCATGGTCACATTTTGTCTCCCTTGATCTACATGATACAGGGGAAGATTGAGATTTGCTTTTCAGATGGTAGGTTGTCCAAAACACTTGGACAGGGTTACTTGAATAGTAGAAAATAAACAATTCCTTAGCTTTTACAGTGTGAAGCTAGATAAAGAAGCATTATTGTTGTTTCTCTAGAGAAGAGAAAAAGACCAGAGTCTAACTAACCGGGGTTTACAATAAAGCCATTTTTCAAATAAGCATTAAGTTGTACTTCAAAGGATTGTAACTTGGAGACCACACCTTGGTTCATGTCATTTATTAGCTTATAAATAACTCACAAAGAAAGACAACAAAGAAAAGAGAGAGAAGTAGTAATGGGGAGAGTATGCAATTATTTATTAGCTCCAGAAAGTGGTCATTGTGCGCCAGTTTTTTCAAACTTGACAACTTTATGATGGTGGGCTTAAACTTCCAGAATTCTGGGAGTTGAAGTTTATACTATACATCTTAAAGTCACCAAGTTTGACAACTGTAGGCTTTGCAGACTGGCCATTGTATAATGGGCAACAATTGTATTTAGCCATTCAGATTCTGGAAGTGACTTCCCCAGTCATTAATGCCAAGTAATTATGTTTCAATTTTGTAGAGGCCTATAATAATCAGTTAGTTATAATAATCACCTAGTGTTGTTTCATTCTCTTTCAGTGTTCCAAAATATAAATATTTCCAATACAAATATAAATCATATTCACAATTCAATACATTGTTTTGCTTTTCTTTTTATTATCAGGTTATTACAGAGGAATAATTTAAACTATGTGCTAATGTATAATTACAATTCTAATTATTAGATATACAATTAATAATTTGTTTACTATTTGTGCCTTTGGAAAAGGACATCAGCTTATACCCGTGATGGTGAACCTGTGGCACACAGAGTCATTTGTTAGGGCATGCGAGGCATTGCCCTGTCAGCTCCAGCACACATGCACGTGCTGGCCAGCTGACTTTGGCCTTCTTTTGAGAACGTTTTTCACCCTTTGGAGTCTTCCTTGAAGCCTCTGGAGTGTGAAAAACTGGCTCTACGGGCAATCCGGAAGTTCAAGAACAGACTTTCTGTTTGCTCATAGAGCCATTTTTTGCCCTCTGAAGGCTCCAGGGGACAAAAAAAATGGCTCTATGGCCAAACAAGAAGTCACCATTCTCGAACTTCCGGGTTCCCCGTAGGTCCGTTTTTTCATCCTCTAGAGGCTTCAGGGAAGCTCCCAGGGCCTCTAGGGGATGGGGCTGTTTTCACCCTCCCCAGGTTTCTAGAAAGCCTCTGAAGTCTGGGGAGGGTGAAAAAAACACGGCAAAAGCGGGGGGCGCACATAGCATTATGGGTGTGGCATGCCCACTCACGACCCCCCTGCGCTCCCCCCGCTTTTGGCACAGGAGTCAAAAAAAGGTTAGCCATCAGTGGCTTATAAAATGGAACATAAACAATACAGATAACAAGACTATTACAATACATTACAATACAATACAATAGCAGAGTTGGAAGGGANTGCTCCTGGCGGCTGATGGGGCGGGGGGAAATTGAGCAAAAATGGCCCGTTTTTTGTTCATTTCTGCTCTCCCCAGCCCCCAGGAGCTCTCTGAAAGCCTCCTAAAGGCTATGCACGGCCATTTTGGTGAAGGGAACGGGGTTTTGGGAGGCAAAAAACGCTGTATTCAGTGTATAAGACGCATCCAGATTTTCAGCCTCTTTTTTGTGGGGAAAAAGGTGTGCCTTATACTCTGAAAAATATGGTATGTAGCGTGACTTTTTTTCCTCTCACCAGTTGAATATACTTACCTTGTTAATATATTGTTTAACTATAGTTTATTGAAACATTGTGAGCTGCCTCACATATAATGTAATCTATAAAGTACAATTTACAGATCGCATAGTTCATTTTATATATCACACTTAACCCAGAAACAAACCAAACTTGGAATGCTTTAGCATAATACAAGACCTCACCAGAGCTGGCTGCTTCTATTGCTGTGCTCTAGAAATCTGAAATGCTATCCTGTGTATATTAAACTTGTAGGCTATTAGCAATTCCTTCTCAATTTAAATTTGTCTCAATTCTTTTTGAGATGGCAATGTCACGAAACAAATCAGAGAAGAATGTCGAGCACTTAAAAATACCTTTCCCTTTTTCTTTGAAAAAAATATTTCTACAAAGCTTCTTAAAAAGCCTGAAAAACCAGTTACACTATCTTTTTTGTTTTCCCTTTCTGTTAGAGAAAATCCTAAAGTGAACTTAGACTGATACCAGTTTGAGAGTTAAGTCTATATAACACCGAATATTAGCTGCAGTTTGGAAATATGCTTTTGTGGTATGTGATTATGCTTATAACATATACTAGCTTATAAAATATAGTAGGCTAAAGCCATATTCTTAGTGGTCTCTTAGGACCATGTACATATTAAGCAGGTATTGAATAATCTTAACCTAACTACTGTTGTCAGCAAGAAATATTTTGCCATGTTTATAATGTGAGAACGGAGTTAACCTCGGTTAACAAATCTAACTCAGTATAAGTGGTGCTTAAAAGTTTTTGAACTCTTTTGAATTTTTAATATTTTTGCACAAGGATGACCTAAAATGTGATCTATTCTCCACATAAGTACTAAAATTAGTTAAAGAGATCCCAATTAAACAAACTTGTCAAAATCATTATACTTATTCACTGATTTTAGAGGGAAATGGTACAAAGCCACATAATTGTGTTTGGCAACGCTCAGTACTGGTTTGCCCAACCATCCCTCCTTCCCTCCCCTGGGTCAGCAATAACTGCAACTAAATGTTTCTGACAACTTGATCAGCCTTGCACATCAGATTTAAGGCATTTTAGCCTTTACAGAACAAGTCCAACTCAGGGATGTTGATAGGCTTCCTGAAGAACTCAGGTCATTCTGCAACATTTTTATAGGTTTAAGGTCAGGACATTTCCTTGGCCATTCCAAAACATTAACTTTCTTCTGCTTGAACCATTTTTTGGGCCACACAACTTGTGGGTTTTGGGTTGTATGACACATTTTCTCTTGAGCTTCAGTTCATGGATAAATACCCTGACATTCTTCTTAGAATTTGCAGGTACAATGTTTTAACTCATTTGCTTAATTGGGTTCTCTTTATCTAGTTTTAAGATGAGTGAAGGGAATACATCGTTCTTAGGCCATATTTATGCAAAAATATTGAGCATTCAAAAGGATTCACAAAATTTTAAGCACCGCTGTACCTTGAAGGAATATATGGATTGCTGTCTTTAGATAACAGATATTGCTTCAGCCACATTGTCTTCTTAGCATGCAGCTATAGCACATTATTTATCTGACCATATGTATTTCTGTGGTGTCTTGCAGTTAGCATTATTAATCATTCTTGTTAACAAATTCTAATATTTTAGGCTGAACCTTCCTGAATATATAAATGTGTCATTCTCATGTTTGCCTGGAAATTCTTTTCAAGTATGACTTACTGATCTGTCAATCTATCCAGTCCCCATAAATACTGGAATTGAATCTGTTAAATGGATCCTTAAGTGAAAGGGAAATGTCCTTAAGTTCTGTTTTGAACAGTGAGTTAAAACAGGTGCAGAATTAGTCTTCTCTGTTTAATGCATTTCAACAGAGTACATTTCCTGCTGACTCTCTTTTTGTTGAAAAATGTGGCAGCTCTTGAAACCTTTTTTTTCTCTTCAATTGGCTAATTGGTATATGTGTTAAGCTTTTAAACAAATAAGGCAAACACTACCTGTGATCCTGGAAAATGTATGCTACGTTAAAAAACCAGGCAACCATATTTTATCCAAGTACTTGTGTAATTTGCTTCTTGTTCAAAGCTTTGTATGAACTCAGAGCTTGGGTAACTAATGCACTGTGTAAATTAATCATGTGTAAGTACCTCATACTGATACACAATAGTTCCTATGATTGTGCAAAGGTAGGAAATCTGTTCTGTAGACATTAATGAATCATAGTGATGAGCCACTGTAAACAGTATGACCAATGGTGAGGACTGAGGAAGTTTTACTTCAGCAATATTTGAATGTGTCACTGAATCCCAATCTTTCTGTAATAATCCTTGCATGCAGCTGCTTACACTAAGAACAGAAGTTTTACTAGAAAGTTTTCTTCCTATCAGGTAAAAAAGGAGCAAAACCAGACATTTAGTCTCATTCTTTATCACATAACAGCATGTGAAGCAACAACATCTCAATTAAACCAGTGTAAACAATTATCATGCTAGGGTAAGAAAGCAGCAATCCAACAAAAGCTCAGTCCTCCAGGACACATATGCTAATTAAAAGCATTGTTTGATGTCACTTTAAAGCTATAGCAGCCTCAGAAAAAGTGATTTACAATCACTTGTTTTTTATTTGCACTTACAACTATTGTATCACCCTCATAGTCACATGATCACAATTTGGGCACTTCATAGCCAGCTTGTATGTACGATCAGTTCAGTGTCTAGTCAAATGATCATGATTTATGATCTTTATGACCAATTTCTGGCAAAAAAAATGCCCTTTGGGGAAGCTGGATTCACTTAATGACTGGCAAAAGAATTGTTGTAAAATTAAGTCTGACTCAAGTTATGAGTCCAACAATTTACAGCAGAAATTGTGGTCACAATTGTGATCAAAAGTCAAGAATTACTACATGCTTTTTTCTAACTGAAGCCCACATGAAAATTCCTAAGATGATATCAGTTAAGTGCTGCTTCTCCTAGAATAGGGTCTCTAATCCCTGGGCTGTGGCCCGCTACTGGGCTGTGTCGTGTTCAGATCTGGGCTGTACAAGTGGAAGGCAAGTGCCTGCAGTTTCACTTGCACGAGTGGCAGGTACTTGCGATCATGCGTGCCTGCCACTCATGCACAACTACTGCCCCCCCCCCTTGCTGGGCCACCAGTCGGAAAGTTTGGGGACTGTTCTCCTAGAACAGAGATGTCAAACTTTATTTCATTCAGGGTTGTTTTTTACTTCAGGGGGCCAGGGTGGGAATGGCCAGGAAGAATGTCACTCCTGTCAGTGGTGCCTGTGGGGCCCCGAATGTTCTGCCATCGAAAACAGGCTCCCGAGCTCCATTTTCACTGGCAGAGGGTTGCTGGAGGCCATGGCAGCCGAAAACTGAGCTTGGGGGCCTGTTTTTGCTGGTGGGCCAGTCCTTCACTGTTTCCAGGCAATCCTGCGGGTCGGATCCGACCCCAGGGTCTTGAGTTTGACACCCCTGTCCTAGAAGAAATTGTCGTGATGAAGGGAAAACCCATCCAATCCAGTTTGTCACATCATCTCATCAGATGAAAAGTAGAAGTAGACAAGGAGATTATAGAGATGGCAGTCCAGTGTTCTCCTGTGGCTAGTATTCAGAGCAGTGCTACTTCTGATTCTAGAAATAGTATATATAGTCATTATGACTGAAGCCATTGTTAATCTTATTCTCCACGAATGTTGAAACTCCATTGGTGGCCAATCCAATCTAGAGTCATAAAACTGGCTATATTAAACAAACAAACATTCTTTTTTTGTTTATTTCTTCTGCTAAATTGCAGTGATTCCTGTTTATTCCTGTTGTGAAAACTTAGTGAAAAATTACATTTGGAGCACAGTGGCCTATTACTGGAACTCCATATGTTTGTTAATGGTGTGCTTCTATTGCAGAAACTAATACCATCTCTGCATTCCAATAAGTTATTTTTGTTTGTTTGTTTCCTGATAGTGTTATGTAATATTTAAACATACAAAATCTAACCAATTAAAACCTGAAGTACTAGATTAATAGTATCCCTTTCAATGTTAAACATTTATCTCACGTGTGTTCTTCCAGGTTAAGAATGTAAGTCCAACAGCTGTTTCCCCAGGGGCTGGCTATCCAGATCGAGTTACCAGTTCTATGGGATACTCTGTTTCTGATGCTCCTGCACATCAGATTCCCAAGGACAACTACACAGCTAGTCCGTGAGTAATCATTCACATTTTTCTGCTTGCTTGCTTGAATGAATGTAGTGTATTTGAAGGACAGGGCAAAAACATGGGTGCAAGCTATATGAGAATTATCTCCTTCCTAGAGCAATTTTATAGACCATGAATCCTCATTATATTGCTGTTGGTGAAACTTTTAAAATCAGTGTTTTTTCATTCTAGCTTTCAGTCCTTTCAGAGATTTTTTTTCTGCTACTAATTGATTTACAATTTATCAAATTTACTTTTGCTCTTTTTTCTAATTTTGTAAATCATCCTATTCTTCCTTTATAAGAGCAGCATATACAGGTAGTCTTCAAGTTACAACAGTTCATTTACTGGCCGTTCGAAATTACAGTGGCACTGAAAAAAGTGATTAATGACTGTTTTTCACATTTACAATCGTTGCAGCATCCCCATGGTCACGTGATCAAAATTCAGACGCTTGGCAACTGTCTCGGATATATGACATTGTCCCAGGGTCATATGATCACCTTTTGTGACCTTTTGAAAGCCAGATTCACACATCAACCTTGTTACTAACTTAACAACTATAGTGATCCACTTAACAACTGTGGTAGCATGGGTGGGTTGCTGCCGGCATTACTGCCGGTTCGGCACACAGATTTTTTGCTCCACATGTGTGCGCATTTGCACCTAAAAGGGTCTGTGCATGCGCAAAATGTTAGGGGAAAAAATTATATTTCTGCAATGAAGATTGTTGTGCGCATGCGCAGAACCGAAAATCAAGATGGCGCCGCCACCAATAGAACCGGTTCGGGGGTGTGGCAGGCCGAGTTGCTACCTACTCAGCCGAACTGGTAGGAACTCACCTCTGAGCGGTAGGTCATAAAATGGGGCAAAACTCACTTAATACTTGTCTCATTTAATGACAGAAATTTTGGGCCCCGTGTGGTAGTAAATTAAGGACTACCTGTATTCCACTAAATATTAATATGCTTGCACATGATCAACCCAAATACTTTAACAATCTTAATAACTGGTGCTAATAAATATACTTTATTTTTTGGAGTACAAGATACTCCAGAGTATAAGACGCACCTTAGTTTTGGGGGAGGAAAACAAGAAAAAAAAATCTGCCTCTACCTACCAGCATCCATCAGTATTCATCTGGCTAGTCTCCTTGCAACCAATAGAGAACAGCCAGGTCAGCTTCAGCACATTATTGCGTCTGATTCAACATGAGCAGCTAATACCCCCAATCCATGCTGCAGGGATTACCACAGACCATCACCACCTCCGTACCCTGTGTTTTTGGCCTCTGTGCCTTGCATTTTCAGCCTCCAAACGCTCTGCTTCAGACCCGTTCAAGGCTGCAGAGATTGACAGAGCACATCGCTACCAATCGCCACCTCCTCACATCGCATTTTGGGCCTCCACACGCCCCGTTTGTGGCCTTTGCGCATTTTCGGTGGTTCCAGGCAATGGGGAGCGGCTGCGGCGATGTGCTCTGGCAATCCCCGCAGCCTTGAATGGGTCTGAAGCGGAGCATTTGGAGGCTGAGAACACGAGGCACAGAGGCCAAAAATGTGAGGCATAGAGGCGCCGATGTTCTGTGATAATCCCTGCAGCTTGGAAAAGGTCTAAAATGCGATGCACAGAGGCCAAAAATGGCCAGAGGGTGGGGGCAGGTGGATGGAGCTACATTTGGTGAATAAGATGCACCAAATTTTCACCCTCTTTTAGGGGGGAAAAAGTGTGACTTTTACTCTGAAAAATACTGTAAATGCGAGGTATTAATTGGCCCTAATTAATTCTAGAATGAGAGGCTTCCGAGGTTTGCCAGACTGTAGTTAGACTGGAAAGTCTAAAACCAACCCAAACAAGGCAAACAATTTTGTAATGTTTTCTAAGGAGAAAACATGGGCCTCTCCACATTCACCAGGAATCAAGCTTGCCCTGAAGACTCATCTTTTTTGTTTGTTTGTTTAAATCAAACACTTGTGCTTGATTTATTAACTGTAGTATTTAAAATTAAGTCCATAAATTGAGTTATACAGTACATGGTACTCTACAAGCATATTCAATACACTGAAAAGTTATAGGTTATGCAGACCTAATCATCAAGATTTTTTAAAAGTTCTAAAGAGGGGATGGGGGTACTGCAGTCTGTTCAAATGTAGTTTTGTATTAATGAAATGATTGTCTTATATGTATGTTCCAGTTCTAATCTTTATTTGTATAAGATAGCCATTGTTTGGATAAGAATAGTCAATTTGCCTTTTGATAACGTAGTATATAAATACACAATTACAGCGAACCCTGTGCTCTGTGAGTCTGCCAGGGCTAGGTAAAAAAGTAGAGCTGAGACAGACAGCCTTGCGATCTGGGATCACATAACCTCTTTTGGAAGTCTTGGGTGCAGCAGCTGGAACTTCCCAGAGTTTGTCACACAGTGGTAAATGATTAAATTTCATGTTTCCCCCCTGGCTTTAATTTTTGTTTAAGTTGCTTTTTGGAATCCCAGTCTTTCCATAAGTTATGCCGTCATGATATTGTCATTGTTTCTTGTAGTATTTTCTACTACAACATTGTCTTTGTGTTGCAGTTTAGATGGAATAATATGATTAAAGGAAGCTATGATGAAAGTTACAATAACAAGAAGGCATGAAGCCAATATTTCTGGGCAATTAATCTACTTTGGCTTCCTGATTGGCAGTAATATTAAGTTTTCCTTCATTTGTCTATACTTAATGGAAAGATTATCTGTGAATTGAGAATGTCGTCTTGATTTGTTGTTTGCAACTATATGCCTGCCAGATTTGACTTGCTCTTTAATCCTTAACAAGATGTTCTATCGTACAGTATTTTTTTCCTGTCCAGTTATATCTTCCCATCTCATCCCATCATTTCCACCCAATTTTGTCTCCTCCCTTTGCACTGCTTTCCTTCCAAATACAGCAACCTTTTCTTCTCCCCACTCCACCCTGTTTTTACCTCCTTTATACTGCTTCTGCTGGAAAGAGGAGAGAAGGATGTCAGAGAGTGTGTGCTTGTGTATTTCTGCAGAGGAGGCTGATTTGTATGTGAGAGAGGCAGAGGTTCTTGGGTGCAGAGGCCAATTAGTTTTCTAAATGAGATCATTTGAATCACCAGTAGTTAATACAAGTTCACCCTTGAGTTAACAGCCTTGTTTAGTGGACTTTGGATACTATGAATAAAATCTGTAACTTTCTTTCAAATATGTAGAATCCTATTTGCCATTTTATGCATGCATTAAAACCTATTTCTTACTGTATGCATATATAACTGCTTGAAATATTCCTGCTTAAAATGAATAAAATATGCATGTGTAAAATCGTATTCCCATGCATAAAACATTCACGTTTAAAGTATCATTTGGATTTAATGGTCATTCTTATCTTGGATACTATTTTCCCATGTTACTATCGTGTTTCCCCGAAAAGATGACATGTCCTGAAAATAAGGCCATGCCACATTTTTTTGGGTGGACAAAAATGTAACCCCCTGGACAACCACCCCCCTCTGGCCAGGCAGAGTGCCGCTCACTGACCTAGCAGTATCCTGAAGACATCAAGCCGTGGGAACGAGATGGGGGGCAAAGGCTCGCATTGCTTGATGCCTTCGGGATACCGCTAGGTTGGTGAGCGGCACTGTGCCCAACTGGAGAGGGGGGTTGCTGGGCAGCTGCTCTCTTGTGAGCAGGCTCCCGAGGAGCCAGGCACAGCCTCAGGATCGAACGGCTGTGTTGCGCTGTTGCAGCAGCACTACACAGCAGTCATGAAGTGACCACGCTCATGAGCAGCCGCCCGGCAACCC